ACTGGTAAAATATTATATTATTTAAATATTAACCAAAAAGGTTAAATTAATCAAGTAAAACGGCAAAACCGTATTTGGGACACGACTATGTCTCGGAGACACTACTAAGCGGAATCACTTTGACGCTCAAAGCGGATCTCTTTCTCATTCTCCAATCTTCTTTGGTATCGCTGCTTTTGGGCGCGATCGTTCAAACTTCGCCAGCCACGACCACGAGGTCGTCCAGCATGCATTTTCCATGAAATTAACCTATCCAATTTCGAAATTTCTCTCCGTTGCGTGTCGGCCCGGGTTGAATTTTTGTCGATGCCTAACGAAAATTTCTCGTCTTTAAAAAAATAATCGTGGCTATTGTATCGTCCGAAATTATTTTTTTTATTTTGCACAAACAATATACAGTTTAACCTGATTATAACGTCAAATTTTTACTGGTCCCACGATTTTACTAAACTAGACAATGTTAAAAAACCTACTTGTAACGACATAAAACCCTATTTTAATGTCATATTTGAAGCACTCCCAAATTTACAAAATTAGATTACAAATTTTACTTAAGAAAGAAAATACTACGTGTTCAGTCCTAGGGTCAGAGTCCATTTCCTTGAACGACTGTGAGTGGTACTCTCACAACCTGACTTCGGTTTGCCTGTTTGTAGAGAGAGTCGCCATTTTGTATTTTACTTTCACTCGGTTCTCGGTCCCGAGTACCTACAAGTCTGGTTTTTTTATGCGCGCATGATTTGGGCACTTAATACTCTGTGCCAAATTGCAACTCCTGACATGTACTCCTTCATACCTCTAAGCTGGTAACACAGCAAGCAGTACGATTTTATAAACAAGACATAGTCTTGTTGACAATTATTTTTTAAAGGTAATATTGTTATTTTACAACAACTTTTGTTAGACATTTAATAAAACAAATTTCAATATTTTAAATTTATAAACAAACTGTTCAAACTTTTCTAAAAAGACTAAAATTTATTGTTGTGTATTAAATATTTTTATTAATAAAAATTTAAAATTTGTTTTAGTTTTTCACATTATTTAGTTTTATATTTTTTGTGCGCTCTATTTCTAGTGTGAGAAAGGGGGGCCCGTAGAAAATTTCTAGGGCCCCAAAGTGGATTAATCCGGCCCTGTTCCCATAACATTAGGACAACATCTCATAAGATTTTCAGTAATCAGGTTTTCTCGTTCTTCAATATTTAGTTTTATATTTTTTGTGCGCTCTATTTCTAGTGTGAGAAAGGGGGGCCCGTAGAAAATTTCTAGGGCCCCAAAGTGGGTTAATCCGGCCCTGTTCCCATAACATTAGGACAACATCTCATAAGATTTTCAGTAATCAGGTTTTCTCGTTCTTCAATATTACAACCTTGTAGGACAGATGTACTGTACAGCTTTTTTTGGTTTTTTTACTCTTTCTGCCCGGTGGGCACTAAAAGGGCCTCTTAAAGCAGTCCCATTATGGGTTCGGCCAGGGCCACAATGAGGCGACCGGGTGGTGACATATCCGAACGGACCACCCCACCGGATTCGATCCTAAGTCTCCCAGAGCGGTAGGCTGTCACCTTGACCGCTCGGCCATCCAGCCATATCTCTAATCAAGTGGTTAGATAAGGGACGTAATATTAGGAAGTAGACGACTTCCATTTTATTATTTGTAAAACTCGTTTGCATTACTTGGATGACTAGAACAAGAGTCACCAAACTTTTTTCATCGTCGACCCCCTACAAGTTTTCGAAACCTCACATCGATCCCCACCAAAAAGTTTATGTTACAAGCAAAACGAAATACTATTTTAATACATTTCTTTTAATTTTGCATTTTTTTTCATTTATTATATATTTGTTAATAATAATTTTCGTAACTGATAATCAGTGAGACGGATAAGCTTGATCCTTAGCTCCCCCTTATCCTTAGCTTGATAATCGACCCTCAATAATGTTATATCGACCCCTGGCGGTCGATTTCGACCACTTTGGCGACCCCTGACCTAGAACATTGTTTAGCATAAGGAGGACTTCAAATGGAAATAATTTTCCTTCCAGATATTATTTGACTTTTGGAATAAAGCAATGGTGGAAGCAATCCAAAATGGGGTTCTTCGTCACAATATCCAATACATAAACATCATATTCTTATTAAATCATCCAAGAACTTTTGGATTTTATGTTGGCATATTATATTATATTATTATTGGTCTTCATGTCGTAATGATAAAATTTTAATATTTATTTTATTTATTGATTTAATTTATCCGCTAGTTGACAAAATGAAAATTTAAACGATNTGATCAAAACCATCATCAGCAGGAAATGCAAATACCTAGGCCACATTGCTAGGAACTACCAAAAATACCATCTACTGCCGCTCATCCTGGAGGGCAGGATTGAAGGCAAGAAACGTCCAGGTAGACCAAAAACGGCCTGGCTAGATAACATCAACATCTGGTTTCATATGACAACAGCACAAGTTCTACACACAGTGCTAGACAGAGAACAATATCAAAATGAAGTCGCAAATGCCATTCGGCAGCATTAAAGAAGAAGAAGTTGACAACACTTAATCCTTCTATCAAAGACATATCCAGCGAGGGCAGAGAGGGCAGTTGTCCCTCCCTGCCCTCGTTGCTGGTCACTTTAATAATTTTTCTTCTAGGGAGGGGCAACTGCCCCTCCATAGAAGAAAAATTATTAAAGTGTACTAATTGACACAGACATATAGCACAGACGTATAAATTTAGTATCAGTTTAAATAATAAATATTATGACTAGACTAGAACCATCTGTCTTGAAATCTCGTTCTCCTTCCCACTTCCTCGGAACTAATGTGAGTTGCCTACCCCTCTAGTTCAGATCCTGGGTATGCCTTTCATCTTTTTTTTTTTTCTGTTTTTAAGAAGCGATACGTTGTAACGGTTGTTAAAATAAAAGTTCTTTCTCCATATTTTTTTACTTCACGATTGCGAGCTTTTTATTACTCATCCAACATTTCGTGCTCAACAAATTAGATAAGAATTTATGCAAGTACGTGTCCCACATTGCTGCAAAGTAACAGCATAATCGGATCTCTTTCTGCTTTAAAGCCTACGGCCTAAACCTTCTTTTAAATATACGCGCTTAATCATCTTGAACAATGCTTGTCTTATTGTGCAGCTTATTCAATTGCGCAGAGGAAACGTCAGTCTCATGATAAACTGAAAAAACACTCACTATTTTTTAATTTTCTCTCTTTCCGCCTTGTGAATACGGGAGGACTTATTTAATCATTCCTATCGTGGGTTCAGTCTTCCGTCAAGTTCACAATGAGAATGGCCTAATGGCGATGGGCAAGAGACAACATATCTGAGACAGACCATACTCCAAAAAATTCCTCGGTTTTTCGAATTGTCCGGTTTTGATTCCAGTTTCCAGACCGTTAGGCTGATATCTTAACCACATCGGCTTCTGGCTGTCAAACATTCACTATGGCCGCTCGAATAGCTAACAGGCAGATAAAAAACCCAGAAATATTTTAAAGATTGTCTATCCCGAATATATCGGGCCCGTACCTTATCATCAAGCCACCGCTGTGTGGGCCTGAATGAATTTACAAATCGGCTTAAAAAGTTCTTAATGCCGACAGGAAGAAACTCATTATTATATTGTCAATAAAAATAGAAAAATAATCAGTGTTGATAGCTTACATAGATTTATTCTTTAAATCTAACGAATTCTTAAACCATAGAAAATTACATTAATTTTAATTTAATTTAATATTTTTTAACATTATAATTTAATTAATTACAGTAATTAATTAGTGAATTTTTCGTTTTTATTAAAAAATCCTAATTTTTGAAATATCGTTAGAGGGCGCTAAGTATAAAGCGTGGTTTATTTCTATTATAATTGCCTTGTGTCGCTGGTATAGTGATATATTATAATCCCATTATAGCAATCTTATTTAAAAGTATACAAAAAATCATAAATTTTGATATTAATAAGATTATTGAACAATTTATTATAACATTTGTTAAAGATTTATAACGTAATAATAATAATCAATGAGTAAATTACCAAAAAATGTAATGTCTTTGTCAAGGGTATGTACAGTACAGTATATATATCATTTTTGACAAATAACTTATTTAATATTATGCATAAACTGATTCAAATAACTAATTGTGTATGTATGTGACATTTATGTTTAACTTGAGCTACATTGGATTAAAGTATAGATATAAATCAATCATTTATTAAGAAAAACAAAAAGAAAAATCTAACTCAGATGATTTGCTAAAGTAAAGTAAAAAAGAAGATTGATTAAAGGTATTGTTCAGAGAAAATAGAGGGAAGTCAATCAATAAAATGTCATTAAAAAAAATGAATGAAAAAAAGTGATCTGATTTGAACTTGCGGAAAATGTTATAGTAATAGAAAGAATGCAAAAGACTGATATGACAAATTCTTAATCAGTTTTGGAGATAAGTGCTTGAGATGATATTAAATGATAAGTTTAGCATTGTCCTATTAAATTCTTAGAGCTCTGTAATGGATGGCTAATGTATAAAGTATATTTTTTCCTGTTATAATTTATTTATTAGTAAAATGTCCTTCTGATTAATTTTTATATTTCTTTACCCTTTATTTATAATCAAAGCTAAAATACAAATTGCACTTTTTTCACTTCAAAATTTTATGTATAAAATTTTGGTAATGTAGTTTACATTTGTAAAATAAAATGAAGTGTTTTTGGTAATATTTAGGTCTATCAATTATTGGGTCTTTTTGAAATTGTCACATAAATATTTATTATTATAATTTTTTTTATCAATGTAAAGCATTATGAAAGTAGTTTTAGTATAAAGAGCTAAAGTAATAATGCAATAATGCATTAAATAATAAATAATGCATTATAATTTTGTATAATAATGTAATTCATTAATTTGTATTATAAAAATAAATATAATTTAATATACTGTACATACTGACATAAATATACATAAATGACATCCACACTGGGGGTTAAGCCAAGTCAGACAAAGGGGATGGGAGAGGTTAAGATTGAGGCCGTTTATTTCATTAAATTTTATACAGCTCATGCATTTTATTATATTTATTTCAGAATTTCTTGTATGTTTCATTTTTACTTATAGTTTCTATCATTCATAAAGTGATAAAGGTTTTAAGATGGGGTCAAGTTTTGTTGGATATCTGAAGAGGGGAGGGTTGTTACAGAAACTTGGACAAACTAGGACAAGATGGGGAGGGGAGTAAAAATTTCAAGAAAAATGATGATGTAATTTATGGACAGCCCTTAATAGCAAGTTTGATGTCATGTAGTTACCTTCCAGTCTGCTTGTGCAAGAGAAATAGTGACTGTATATATGAGCACAAAGAAAGAACACCAATTTTTGAAGATAGTATCCTTCAAAAAAACATATAGAATAGTAACAGTATAGATTAGAAAGAAAAGTGACAATTTTAAAATGACCCAATAATTGATAGACCATCTAAATATTACTAAAAACACTTATTTTTGTTTTACGAAAATAAACTAATTACCAAAATTTTTTTATTCAATTGATTTATTTAATTTTGTATTTAATAAGTGTACTGTACATTTATAAAGATTTGTTATATTATTATTAATGCCAGTTTTAAATAATAGATTTGTATACAACATACTTATGTAGGAATGTTATTTTTTTTCAGTTTATTCTAAGACAACAAACTTTAAAGTTATATAAAGATTTTATGAGAGCATTGAAATTAGTAGAAGATAAAGAACAAAGGAAAGAACTACATATGTGGATTCGAGAAGATTTTGAAAAGAATAAACATCATGCAGATGAGGTAAATTTAAATGAGAAAAATATACATTTTAAATGAAATAAAAGTGGCTTGAATTTTATTTGCTACATTTTAAACTGAAAATTTATTACAATGAGTGTGAATCAATCAACTCTAAGTGGTCATTGTTATTGTGGAGCACTGGAAGCTGAACAGTATATGTTGGATTGTCAGAAATGCCGAAAATTATTTCATCTTGGTTGTTTAATATCTGGTCGACCAAGTAATATAATGGGGGATACATACTTCAATTTTACTTGTTCTCTTTGCTCTCCAACTGGCAATGAAGTTGTGGAAAGAAGTAGATTGCTCTGGATACATGCAATATTATTAACTTTATATAATCTTCAGTTAAAAGGTGGTGGAAAATGTGGGTTTTATCGATGGAGAGAGCATATTTGTAATTTCATTGATCGGAATTGGACGACATTTTTTGGAAATACAAGAACAAAAAAAAAGACTTCTACATGGCATGGAACAGTTGCTGGAACATTATCAGCAAATTGTCCACAACTTTTTAGATCTGGTTCATCTGTTCTCAAGGAGAATGGCTGGTGGGCACTTGCTGATTCTTCTTTACCAACCCCTACTGAACTTGAAATATTGTTAGCAAATCAAAAAATTGGTCGTAAGAATAAATGTTCAGTTCAAGAGGTATCACCAAAAGTGGAAGGACTTCGTCATAGATCCACTAAAACTGCTATTCAGGCTGCAATGGAATTAAAAGAAAGGAGATCAGTTCTGCAAGAAGCTAAAGAGATCCGAAAAACAAAACAGTTATTTTCATGCCAAGATAATGATATTCCATCTTTGAATGTAAATGAAACTGAAGAAAGAAAAATGGATGATTGCAAAATTGAGACATTGGATAGTTATAGTGGTGCAGTTTCTAAAAATGATTCAAATTTTAATTTAGACTTTAATATTATGCAAGATGAAAGTATTTCTGATTTGAATAATGAAATACATATATCTGGCAAAAATATTATTGAGGAAAGTACTGAGCAGAAATTAATTTTTAATAAGGAAAGAACTATAGAAGAAACTGTACAAGAAAATTTATTTAAAGATAATGATATTCCTTCAACAAAAGAAGAAATTGTGGAAGGAAATGTTTTAACTGACTTTTCTTACTTATTACAAACAGATGAAAATGATGATTTTGATATAGATCCAACATCTATATCTTCTCCATTGTTACATCATCCGGAATTACCAGCTGTTGAAGATTTATTATCTACATTTTCTTGTACAGATGAAAAAACAGTTTCATTAACTGAAGGAGTTGACATTAAGGAAGAACCTGAATCAGATGAAGATAAACAACTAGATGAACCTGATGATCAAATATTTGAAAGTGATGAAGAGATTGTTACCAATAATCATCCATGTGCTTCAACTGTTCCAGAAGTTGGTCGAAAAAGAAAAGCAGTTTTTAAAGAAGAACCAACAAATGTTTCAAAACCATCTAAAACAAAATGTGAATTGATGACTATTTATGATGAGCAGCTTCTTTTAAAAAAGTTAGATGCAATGTATGATACTATTCAAAAATGTCCAACTGCAAGGAGACTTAGGCGTAAATTAATTATTCGTAAATTGAAAAGAGAGAAAAATTTACCTATATTTAATTTAGACACAGAAGTTCAATTGCACTGTGGTCTTATTCAACAAGAAAATGTTGAAAAACCAGTATTTAAATGCCTACCATCTGTGCAAAGTAAACCTGGAAATCATATTTTAGATCGTTATCAAACTGGTCATTACATTGTTTGTGGAACTTCTCATCATCATCCAAATTTTGTAACTAGATTAATGGGTTTTGAAGAAGATCAAGAATGTATCATTAGTCCATATACAGCAAGAATTCTGAAACCTTATATATTTCGAGATTATGAAACAACTCCATTGAAATTAAAATTAATGAATGAAATTATAGCACATTATCATAGACATGATAAGGATTGGAAACCATTACATCATCATCCAATTGATTATTGTTATGTAAGACCTCAACATATTGCTGTTGTGAATTCCCTTTGTAGAGAATACTTTTGGCCAGGTATTGATCTTTCAGAATGTTTACAGTATCCAGATTTTAGTTGTGTTGCTTTATATCGAAAAGTAGTGATTGGATTTGCATTTATGGTTCCAGATGTAAAGTATAATGAAGCTTACATCTCATTTATTTTTACTCATCCTGAGTGGCGAAATGCTGGTATAGCAACATTTATGCTATACCATCTTATTCAAACTTGTATGGGTAAAGATGTCACTTTACATGTATCTGCAACAAATCCAGCATTATTTTTATATCAGAAATTTGGTTTTAAAGTGGAAGAATTTATTTTAGATTTTTATGAAAAATATTTTCCTCCTAATACTAAAGAATGTCGACATGCCATGTTTCTTCGACTGAGTCGATAGCAATTATCATTAGTTAATAATAAATTTTTTAAATATTTATTTTTTTAATCTCTCAATTTGTAAAAGTAAAGCATATTTTTCAGTGAAATATTTGAAATAAAATTGTATCATCATTAATATTAAATCATAAATTATTGTTTTGATAATGGGATAGTCAAGTTTAACTTCATTCATTTGACTTTCAGGTGGTTATTAGAATGTTGTTGTCTCAGGGACGACTTCAGCTCAGAGAATTGCAGACCACAATTCATTTGGTTAAATAATTTTTTATGTACAGTTCTGTATAGTTTTGTTATAGTTATTGTATAGTACAAATACAATAAATATTCAATTATTATTTATATGTTTTTATGCTATAATTTTAATATTAGAAGAAATTATTTTAATTAAATTTTTACTTTAATATTTTATTTTTGTTAAAAACAAATTTAATAAAACAGTCCTTTTTAAAAAAAATTGGTAATAATACTCTCATATGTTTGTTTACATATTTATAATGCATATTATATTAAAAAATTTAGTGATTATTACTGAATTTTAATTGACTCTGTTCATGTTTTTAATAATTTTACAAATTATTCAAAAATATTTTTAAAAATATCAAATAAAAATGTCATAATTTGGTCTAAATTATAATTCAAAATATTAATATGAAATTTATATATTTTCTATACACTTAATTGGTTTAATTAACTCTACTCATCTGTTGCATTTACACTATTTTAGCTTTCTTTTCTTTAGCCTTGATATTATAGATATGCAACAATCAATATTTTGATTGTTTTTGAATGCTGTATTATTTTTAAATTAAGCTGAATGTAGAATGTTATTTCTTTACAAAATATTCATTATTAGTAATAATTTATAATTTGCACTTTTAATATTGCTTAAATGATAGTTGAATTATTTTTAGTGAAATCTCAATTATGACAAAAATTATGAAAACTACTCTGTTGTAATATCTTATCATGAACATATTTTTATTTGTAAAATATATACAGGGTGTTTCACAGCCTCTCCGCAAAGTTTTTTTTTGAATAACTTTTGAACCACGTGGTTTTTCAGCCTCAATTTTTTGTAGGTGGCACTTTGAACAAAAAGAAATTGCTTCTACACAAAAGCACGTTGCTTCAAAACATTTGATTTTTTCGTAAGTGGTCTTGCCTGGCCACCTTACAGCCCTAATTTGAGTCCACTAGACTTCTTTCTTTGGGGATGCATGAAGGATCAGGTGTTCAAGAATAACCCTACTACCCTCAGTCAGATGAGAGAAAGCATCGAGACGATCATGAACGGCATCTCAGATCAGACCTGTAGTAATGTGATTGCTAATTTCCAAGAGAGACTGCACTACTGCATCTCAACAGAGGGCAGACATTTCGAAAATATCTTGCCTTAATTTCCTTTTTCATCTTCTATCTTTGCTAAAAATTTCATTAAAAAATTCGAATTTTCAAAAAAGTTATTCAAAAAAAACTTCGTGGAGAGGAAATACCCTGTATATATACAGTATTTTTTGATTATTTTTATTTTGACTGTTAATTATTGGAATACATATTTATTGAAATATAAACGCTCAAATAACCTCTAAATGAAAAATATGATGTTCATATATCAAGTAAAAGTAATTTTTAATCCTGTGTCAAAATATACAAGAGTTAAATTTATATAAAAATGTATTTAATACTGTATATTGATTAAATAAGTATATTTTTTTTGACAATATTTATTTTATAGAACTTTAATTCAATAATTCTTGTCTTTATCGGATGATAACATTCAACTGAAATTTGAAAAATTCAGTAGCATATTTTTTAACTAAACAAAATAAACATTTCTTAATTAAACTTTGATTACTTTAAAAACAGTACTAATGAAATAATTAACTAAAATTTTATAAATGTTATGGAAGATACACTTCCAATTCATAACTTGAAATGAAAGATAATGAGACTTCATTGATACAATATACTTCTACTACAAATGAATACAAGGTTTTCTTTTTCTACATAAAAAAAAGTGCCACAATAATTGTAACAGATATGAAGCATTCTTCATTGAATTTACATACAGCTAATCTGATCATAGGGAGAAGCACTACAAATTAAAAACATAGAGACTGTGAAATAGTTGTAGGACAGGAGCTCTGTGTAAGCATATATATGACTTCAGTCAGAATTATGTTGTTAAAATTTTATCGAGCTGATAGTACTCGGGTGTCTATTTAAGAAATTGAAAGGATTTATGATTACAATATGAACTGAGATTATAAATTATGAAAATGTTACAAAAACTATTTATATATTGTTTTGTAAGATATGACTTAATATGTCTGCAGTGTTGTCTGAGATATGACTTATATATATATAAGTCATATCTCAGACAACACATGCACAGAAAATGGCATATTGTGCCTGAAACAATACATTACAGATGCTCTTAATACTTACAAATTACATAGACATAATCAAGTAACAAAAATTATACATCTAATATATAAACACATTATTATTTATTCAGTACCATACTATAAATACAAACCATAACTAAAAGGCAGATGACATGAGGAATTTCAGCTTTGATGCCATCATGATTTACATAACTAGTATACTAAAAAAATTATACAAATTGTTTTATTAAGCTATGTTGATCTCAGATAAAACAATCTATTACAATAGATCAGCCATTACATTCATTGACAAATAGAATAGAATTATATACATCATAACCATCCCAAACACTTACTATGTACAAAATACTTATACTGATAAAATCAATAAACCTACATTTTCCTTTCATAACTCTGTGATATAACTAGATGTCATAATATTTCTAGAAATAATATATCTTAATTACAATAATCCATAAAATCTGATTTTTAAGTAATGCCAAATGATTGCCAAAATATCAGGCTAGAATAAGGCTAATTTAATAATTAGATGTTAAGTAATTTGACTAGAGGCATGCAGTTAGGCTCCATTTTGTAATAATTTTAATAATTATAATTATTATTTCAGTTAGCCTTATTACATCCAAATATTTCACCAGATCATTTGACATTAATTACTATATTTGCATCACAGAAAGATCAATTACAGAGGCAACAATATTAAACTTGTATTTTTGAAACTTAAATCCAGATATGTACAGTAATGGCTCATAAACATATTTATTTTTAGCAGCTGTTTCCACTTCAATTCAGCATAGAATTTGTTACTAGTACTAATTTTAAGTATTACATTCACATCATCACTTTAAAAAGTGCACCTAAAAGTACAATTTGAAGATAGCTAAAAGATAGACATGTGAGGCCTGGAAATAGCGTTAAAAAGAGAAAAAAAAAATGTAAAATATGTTAAGATCAACAGTAAAGAAAACAAATTGTAAAAGTGTCAAATTGGTGACATTGGACTTTGACATCGATGCTTATAAAGAATAGCAAAAAAAAAAACAAAATTTTAATTAAAGAAAATTTAAAATTTAAAACTTTATGATGCTGTTTAGAAAGCAAAATGAAACTAGTAAAATATCAGAATGAGCGTGAGTGTCATAGTCATTGATTAAATGCGATCAGAGTCTAAAAGAAAGTATAAATAGACCATCTCTAGCTGACAAATATTTGAATATAAAATAAGAATTTAGATGCAAATATTTAATATATTTTTTCAACAGAACTTAAAAAAGTTCTGTTGAAAAAATCTCCATCTCAACAGAACTTAAAAAAGTTCTGTTGAGATGGAGGAGAGGTTTAAAAATGATAAAAATCCTTATTTTTAAGATCTCAGTTTTAATCCAATATATAACTAAAATAAACATATTCATTTTTTTTATTGTGATTACTTTGTGAGTTGTAAAATAATAAGTTTAAGAAAGAATATTATAATTTCTAATGAAAGCATATAAGAATTTTTGTTACTTTGTGTCATACAATATTGTCACTAAATTTAGGTATAAATGAGGGATATAAGATCGGTTAATCTGTATTTATATGAATATAAACAATTTAAACATTTATATAATGACTATAATAAAAGTTTTATGCATTAGTTAAGAAAATAAAATATAATATTAAATTCACAAATTATGGGGTTGGGTTATAATAATGATTAATCCAGAAATACTTTGTAAATTTAGAAAACTAAATAACATATTTTTCAATTCCCAATGTAAACAGTCACATTTTTTCTGAATGACAAGGACTAAGTAGACAAGAATATCATTTAATATATTTTATTACCATTCTTGATGTATATGCATTTTGGGCTTTAGCCCCTCTCCTATACTGGTATGTTTTACACAACATATTTAGTAAAATTGCCTAGGCTTTGTAACTGTTATGTTTGTTGTCAGTTTATAGTAAAGGAAGTATAGTATAGTAAACAAGATTAATTTCAATTCTGCTTCTGCTCCAAAGAAAAAACACATCACCATGGACGATCGTCGTGAAAGAAAAATCCCCGAGTTGAAGAAAATGACTCCTAGCGATGAAGAAATGCTTCGGAGATTTAAGGACATCTTCGGCGACGCCAGCAGAAAGATAGAACAAGATTAATGTTTACTTATGTTCATATCTGTTACAAAAACCTTTTACATATAAAAAATTTTACTAAGTATGTTATATAAAGCATGTACTGAAGAGCCAAAGCCCGAAATGCATATATGTTAAGAATAGTAATAAAATATATTGGATGTTATTCTTGCCTGCTTAGTCCTTGTCATTCAGAAGAAATATGGTTGTTTATGTTGGGAATTGAAAAATACATTATTTAGTTTTCTAAATTTATGAAGTATTTCTGAATTAATAAAAAAATATATATGTATTAATTATTTTATATTAATCTAGTGAATTTTTAAAAATTTTAAAATTATAATATTGACATAAGTGTGATATTAAAATAGAAATCTGCCAACAGATAGATAGCAATGACAGTAAAGGTGTCAGTCTGCTTGCTCTAGGGACCTGGTTTTCAGTTTGGATTAGCAATTTTTTATAAGTAATCTGTCCTGGCTATATCATGTCCCATCTCTCATCACACACTGCTTCCATTGTAAGTTAGCCAAGCCCAAGATGGGTATGATTAAAGGTCTTCCTTATTACTTAGAGAGCAGAGCTAAAAAATAATAATAATTGATTACTGGTATATTTTTGCTAACTTCTCTCAAAAGATTTTCTCTTAAAAATTGAAGACAAAGTATAAGAAAAAAATTTTTAATTAAAAATATACTATAAATAAATGCATTATAATTTAATTAATCTGAATTTCACTAATTAAACTTT